TGGAAGTTTTTTTCATCTTGCAAATCTGAAATTCTGTATCTGTTAAACAACTCCTCTTTTCTCCTTACTCTCATCCCCCAGTAACTGCTATTCTATTATACTTTGTAATTCTATGAGTTTGACTTTTTTAGGCCTTCATATAAGTAAAATTGAACGTTGTCTTTTTGTGACTGGCTTATTTCATTTGGCATAGTGTCCTTAAGGCTCATCCATGTTGTTGAATATGACAAGGTTTTCTTACTTTTTAAGGCTGATTAACATTCCATTGTATGTATATACTACATTTTGTTTACCCATTCATCCTCTGATGGACATTTGGGTTGCTTCCACCTCTTAGCTGTCATGAATTAATGCTATTATGAACATATGTGTACAAATATCTCCTTGAGACTGCTTTCAATTCTTTTGAATGTGTATCCAGAAGTGAAATTGTTGATCATATGGTAGCTCTATTTATACTTTTTTGAGAAACCTTCATACTGTGTTTCATAGTGGCTGCACCAGCAACAGTGCACAAGGGTTCCACTTTCTTATATCCTCACCAACACTTGTCACTTTCTGGTTTTTTGATAGTAGCCATCCTAATGGGTGTGAGGTGATAATTTCATTGTGGTTTTGGTTTGCATTTCCCTGATGATTAGTGATAATGAGCATCTTTTCATATGCATGTTGGTCGATTTGTATATCATCATAGTTTTGAAACTGTAGTTTTTATTTCTGTAAGTTTGATTTCAGTCTTTTTCATATCTTAACTTTTTGAACATATAGAATATAGTTGTAGTAACCATTTTGATGTCCTTCTCTGCTAAATCTTACAGCTGTGTCAGTTCTCGGTCATTTTAATTGGTTGACTGTTCTCCTCATTATCAATTGTGCTTTCCTGCCTCTTTGCATGCTTGGTAATCTTTGGTTGGATGTCTGACATTGTGAATTTTACCTTGTTGATTGCTGAATATCTTTGCATTCCTATTAATTTCCTTGAGCTTTGTTTTGGTATGCAGTTAAGTTACTTTGAGGAATTAATTTTATAATTTGTTAGGTGGCTCATGAGTATTGCTCAGTCTAGGACTAATATTATTCACTATGACTAAGGTAAGATCTTCCTGAATACTCTACTTAATGCCCTGTGAATTACAAGTTTTTCAAGTCTGACTCATGGGAACAAGCACTATTTCCAGTGCTGTGTGAACTTTAGGCACTGTTTCCTATTAGTTTGGATGGTTCTTTCCCTAGCCTCAGGTCATTTCCTCGCACACATGCACCAGTCAGTGTTCTGCTGTGTGCTAGAAGGAGACTTTTTGTTCATCTCTTGGGTTGTCTCTCTGAGCAGCTTTCTTCTCTTTGGTATTTTGTGAACTCTACTTGCCTTTGTCTCCCTGCACTCATAGCTCCGTCTCCTCAACTCAGGGAGCCCACCAGTCTCCACTTTAATTCCCTTGTCCCATGCCACTGTCTAGAGACTTTCAAGGCAGTAATCTCTGGCACTGGTAGGGCTTACCTCATTTGTTTCCCATCTGTCAGGGACCGGTGTCTTTTGTTCCCGGATGTCCAATGTCTTGAAAACCATTGTTTCTTGTATTTGTCTGGTTTACTTAGTTCTTTACTTTTTAAATTTTTTTTGGTTGTTTAAGGTAGGAGGACAAATCCAGGCCCTGTTACTCTATTTTGGCCAGAGACAGAAGTCCTGTTTACTTGTAGTCTTGACCTGAGAAGGCTCTTGTGCTAGAATTCTTATAGAAAAACTCTTTTAATAGCAGCTGTTGCTCATTCTCTTTTAAAACGATATGTCGATAGATGAGATAGAGGATAAACTCAAATCAGCCAGCAGGAATTTTTAAATATATTCTTTGGGTATTAAACTGATTTCCTGATTCCTTTGTTTCTGGGAATTTCTTGAGTTATTTGGATCTAGAAGCAAATTTTAAATAATAATTTTATGAATTTCCTAACTACGTTATGATTTTATTCTCAGAATTAAGAAAAAGAGAGAGAAACAACGTTATGCTGAAGAGCAGAGGATCTTAAGAATGAATGTTCATGAGGAACCATATCCAGAGGAGAGGATGAGTGAGATATTAGCCCAGTTACAACTTGAAGAAATAAAAGGAGCCAGAGAAAAACAGCAACAGAGAGAAAAGGAATACCTAAGGTAATCTGAAAAGTTCTGCATAAAATTCTGGCTCTAGAGACTTAGTAGGGAGTCAGTGTTCTCATTTTTCTTTAATGAGAATTGACTGTGTCTTCTCATACATTTCCTCATTTAGGGGTTCATAACTTCACCAGATAGGGAATATTTCTTGATTCCCTAGTACTACTCGGGAATAGCACTGCAATTTTCCCAGTACAAAGAGGCAAAGTTGAGACACAGAGATATGAAATAGTTTTAACGGTTAAAGCTGGTTATAAAATCAGGACTCATACTCTCTTTCCAGTAGTAGTTCAGTTTGCCTGATCATACTTTATTTTTATAGATATGTAGAAGCTTTACGAGCCCAGATCCAGGAGAAAATGCAGCTGTATAATATTACTTTACCTCCACTGTGCTGTTGTGGTCCTGATTTTTGGGATGCTCATCCTGATACCTGTGCCAACAATTGTATTTTCTATAAAAACCACAGAGGTAAGTTTCTTGAAGGAATAGTTGGGGCCTAATGACAATTTCAAAAATCCATTAAGAATAGTGATAGTAGTCATTTACCATTGATTGTTTATATCAGAGACTATTATAAACTCTTTACAAAACAACTATATGAGGCAATAAAAATAATTATAGTGAGTTATTATATATTTCTCTTTGAGATCGGTTATCTTTTTGTCCTCATTTATGCTGAGGAAATATTTTCAGCTCATTCCATCGTAGGAGGGCTTGAGTTCAAGGTCCTTTTTTAACTGAAGACTATTAGAGTTTGTCTTTTATGTAAGTTAGGACTCTGTCCAGTTGAATTCCCTGTTACTCTAATAATAATACTTTAATGGTATGTAACACAGACTTATTACCATATATATGCACATTAGACTGCCAGTTCTGCCAGGAAACAGAGGACAATGAGGAGCAGTATATACTCTATCAGGAGTCCCAGCTAGAAAAAAATGGAGTCTGTCCTATTGTCACTAATGTTTCTGTTTCCTGTCCATCCTTAAATATATTGATTTATATACTGTGGAGATTATGTAGGCCTCATGTACACAATGAAAATACTGCCAGTATTTATATTCTTAGTGTCCCATCTGCATGATTTGAGTTTCTTATCAATCCTATGAGTTAATATTTTTTAAAACACAAATCTGATCATGCTATTCCTCTATTTTAAAACATTATAGTCCAAAATGCATGGCATGTTTGCTATATTTTCTCTCTGGCCCCAAGCTCTACTCTAGCCTTATCAAACTTGCTATTCCCATTATATGCCATATTTTTTACACCATTTGCACCTCACTCACTCAATTCTTTGCTTATAATGCCTTCTTTCCTTTATTCCTGTTAATCCTTCAAGACCCACCTTAAATGTTACCACTTCTGGAAATCTTTTCCATCCTTTCCTAGATAGTTATTCATTCATTCCCAACTTCATTCTGTGATAACATTTTGTATATGTCTCTGGTTTGGAAATATTACATGGCAATTTAATTATTTTTGTATCCATCCTCTTCATTATCTTTTCTGCCTTCACAGAGTGCTTGTCACGTAGTTAATACTCAATAAATATTTATTCAGTGGATAATTAAAGTGTATACCCATGAGACTCTGGGTAGAGAAGCAGTACTAATAGGATAGAGAGTAGGAGAGTTGTTTAGAATCTGACTTTATTCATCACTATACAAACCTTTATTTGCAGCATATACTCGGGCACTACATTCAGTCATCAATTCCTGTGATACCACCGAGGAAAACTCAACTCTTCGAATGGCCATTCATAGTTTTGCTTCTGCACACAGACGGACTTTGAAAAATCTGTAATAAGACTCTGAAATCAACTGGTAGTATT